GTCGGGAGGCGTTCAGCCAGGATGACTGGGGGCGCGTCGGTGATGTCCGGGGGGTTGTTGACGAAGCCTACGAGTCCGAATTTTCGTGGCTGTGGGGGGTTTTGGGGGGGGGGGGGGTTGGTGCTGTTTGTGTGCCATTCTTCTGAATAAATCAGTAAGTTGTTGTTCACGTACTTTACTCGTGCTCCTTCCAGGTCGCCCCTCTTGCTCCCTCGCCTTCCCCTACCGATCCACGCCGGTGTGGCACACTTTAAGGTCTTGCACGTGTACTTTTAGCGGGGCTTTCTCTGTCCCCTGTACAATTACGATTCGTTTGCTTATTAATTCGCAAATTTTGTACGGTCCCTTGTATTTTGGGGCGAGGCTTGCTGCGAATCGCGCGCTAAGGTCTGACTTTGGCGCGTCGGGGACGTCCGGCGGGCGGAAGACGACGCCTATGACAGCGAGTTCTCGTGGCTGTGGTCGACAACTGGTCGACACTTGCAAGCGTAGGACAAACTGGTCAACGCTTTAAAGTGTCGACCTGTCCTACACTTGGATTTGCAGTGCAGCCGAGACGCGGCGAGAGCCCCGTGTTTGGCATCCGCGACTTGATCCCACCGCCTCCAAGACACGTCAGGGCCCAGGTCTGGGCGCACGACTTCTGGCAGGACAGCTCGGCACGCCGGCCAACGAGGAACGACGAGGCGCAGCGCCCAGGGACTCCAAGCCGTTCTCCATTGCTACCAACTCCGCGGGGCGTAAGGAGGTTTCCTCGCGACCTTCTCACACGGCCAGAATTGTACAGAAGGGAGTATTGAGACCGTGGCGGTTGGATGGGGCAGAGACAGTTTGAAATGAGCAGCCCCCTGACGGAGGCCCCTCGCCATCAAGACGTGCGTCACCCTCCCACCATGGATACAACAAGAGGCCGAGGCCGTGATCGTCGACGCGGCCAGGCACGCGGCCGACTGGCGGCCGACCTTAGGGGCAGAATTGGCCGCGGCCACATGCGAGAGTCTGGGCCGTGCCATTGCTGCCCCGCCGGACCTACGTCGCGCCGCCAGGGCAGCCAAGAGCTTCTACGACGAAACTACCCACGTCGCGACGACCGAATTTTGGCTGCGGAGGGGGGGGGGGGGGGTAGCGGGAAATGTCACGGTTATGAGAACATATAGCGTGCGGTGAGATGTCGCGGGCTGTATTCTGCTGTGTTGCGGAATTTCAGTATGCCTCGTCATAGTATCGATCGCAGCACTCTGTGGAATGGGTGGTTAGTGGGATAGTGGGGCGGTTAGAGTTGTAAACAAAATGTGTAGTGAAAGGAATTCCGAAGGTTGCGTTGAAAGGTCAGCTCACTTTTGATGATTACAAAAAGTGTCATGAGTCCATTGGTGTGAAAATGGTCAGCTTTTCGAAAATATCCACTGACCAAAAACACCACCTGTATGAAACTTTTTCAACAAAACGGGGTTTCAGCTGTTACGATGACAAGAGGTATTTGTTACGAAATAATATTGATACCCTAGCATATGGTCATTACAGACTAAAAAGTGTAACTGAGAATGTGGCTGGGGGTGAAGACAAAATTGATCCTCCGCGGGATTTTAATGACCCGGCAAATGTCATGTTGAGTGAACTAATTGAGATGATGGAAGAGCTGGAAAAACAATGAATAAAATCAAGTATGAAATAAGAAATTATGCGTTTGTCATTAAATTATAATCAAAAAACCTGATTCCTGCATCCCTCCTGAAGAGAGTCGTGCTCCACTTACAAAATGGTAAAGAAGAGCCAGTGTCGACATACTTGATTCCCGCACCCACTGAAGACAGTCGTGCTCTACTTACGAAGTGAAATGGGGGGGTAGAGAAGTGCAGCATCGACAAAACCTTGCAGGTGGAGTGGGAGGAGAGTGCGGTTTGCTGATCGCTGGAGGGAAGCACCGTGTCTCAGTAGGGTTCCGACTGGACTGGTGTCCATCCTGGACCTTCATGACGGCTCACCGCGTAGCCCTTCCCACCGCCGAGCTCATCAGGACTGCCGGCGGAACAGACACGGGCCTCGGCGATGTCCTGGCGTACGGGCCGCACGCCCTCGCTCGGCTGCTCAGCTGGCTGTCGGCAGGGGCAGCAACAGCGGTGGTGCTCACACCGTCATATGTTTACAAACATGACGCGCGCCCTCCCCGCGCGGCCGCCCTAGCAGCGGCGCCGCGATGCGCCCCGACGGAGCATCGTGGCAGTTCGAGTCCAGCGTAGCATCTGGGAACTTCACCTATCCAGCTAGGAGTCTTACGGAATCTACGTTCTCTTTGACGCGCCCAGCCCCCTTTCCCTTGTTTGGACACAGGCTCGGCCTAGTTGGCGACCCTTGCAACCCGAGGAGTTATCAGTGGCCCTAGCTTTTTTTGGGGTCGACCCCCCAAAATCGGCGCTGCGTGCTGCTGTTTGCGCTGGCGCCCGTCGCCCGCTGCGCGGTTCCGCTGATGCAGGATCCTTGGCGGTATAAAGCGGCACGGGCCACCGGGGCTGGCACCAGTCGCCACTAGCCTTGCCATGGAGTCTCGACACCACACCGCCAGCGCCGGACAGGCCCTTGCCCCCGACGCCGCCAACGCCGCCACCCCTGGGTGAGGCGCCCATGGGCGATCCATGGGCGGTCCATGGGAAATTGAAAGCGGATATCTATGGACAGTCCATGGACGGCCCATGGACGGCCCATGGAGGGTCCACACTGGATGCATATTGCTCTGGCAAAGTCCTCCCACTATTAAGCAGTCTTTCCAAGTCAGAATAACATGGTGGGCTCTACATGAACTTTTCGCGCTTCACTCAATTCTAAATTCAGATTTTGTTTCGGACTAACGGTTCAAAAGTTAAAAGGACTTTGTGAAAATTACTTGGAGACTTAGATGCACGAGGAAGTCATTGTCAATTGGCCGTCCATGGACCGTCTGAGGATGACCATTGGTTGTCCATTTGTAATGGATGACCCATGGGCCAACCATGGATTGTCCATGGCCTGTCCACGGATCGACCATGGTCACCCCTTCACGACCATAGGCACCAATGGATTCACCATGGGTGTCTAAGGTTGCAGTATGGACGGACCATTGGTCGCCCATGGGCGCCTCACCCAGGGACTGCCACCGACGCCGCCTCGACTTCACCCGGTTTTCTCCCCACGGTGACTATCACTGCAGCCGCCGCCCTGGACCGACCCGCCATCACCAGACCCTCCCTGGCCCAGATCTTGCGGTGGACGGCAGCCATGCTGCTGTCCCTGGCCACGCACACTCACGGCCAGGGACCAGGCAGCGGTTTCGGGTAGGTGCTGCGGACGACGGCGAGGGTCCTCCAGGGGATCGCTCGTCACGGGCAGGGATGATACCCAAACCGAAACGATACCAGGGCGGTTACGACAGCAGTTTGCACTTATGACGAAAACTCAATAAGTGTAGCACCTAGAAGCAAGGGAACAGGTTTTCCTTGTTTATCAAGGCCTACCGGAGTTTTGTTCCCATATGGGCCAAGTCCAAAGTCCGCTTCCCTGAGTTTTGTTGATTTAGGCCCCCAAAAGAACAAAACTCAGGAAAGCGGAATTTGGACTTGGCCCATATGGGAACAAAACTCCGCTAGGCCTTGATAAACAAGGAAAACCTGTTCCCTTGGTTCTAGGTGCTACGCTTTTTGCGATTTAGTGATAAGTGCAAACTGCTGTCGTAACCGCCCTGGTATCGTTTCGGTTTGGGTATCATCCCTGGTCACGGGGTCCCGGCGCTCCGTCCCCCGCCGTCTCCTAACCTAACCTAATTCCATCACCGTCGATATCGGGGGTGCGATGGTCTGGCGTGGAAATACCCAGGAGGAGTTACGGCGGGCGGTCGTCGTCCTGCACGACGACTTCGAGGAGGAGCGGGCCATCATGAGCACCGGTTCCCTAAGTTAAAGGAAGGACCGATCGAAGACTTAGCTCATAAAAGAAAAGCAATACTATGTTGAAGAGGATTGGACAACGGGCCAATGATTATAAGTCCGACGACGAAGACGACGAAGACAGAGAAATAAGTAAGTTAACAAGCTGACCGCGGGTGGGTGGGTTTGTTGCACTCTCTAAGGCGCCTTCGTCGCTTTTTGGAGTGGATAAAAGTAATAGGGCTAAGAGAACCTTGTTGTTTAAATTTTCAGCGCAGTCGAAGAACTCTAAACGCATCGCTCAGCGGCCCCCCGCCCCCTCCCCCCCTTGAGACGCCACGCGCAGGACGTGTAGCTTCTCCCTCTTATCTTATAACATTTTTTGTGAATTAAATCATGCATGTGATAATCGTGAATTTTCATCTTTTGTATTTCCAGCAATACTATGTTGAAGAGGATTGGACAACGGGCCAATGATTATAAGTGCGACGACGACGAAGACAGAGAAATAAGTAAATTGACAAGCTGATCGCGGGTGGGTGGGTTTGTTGCACTCTCTAAGGCGCCTTCATCGCTTTTTGGAGTGGATGAAAGTAATAGGGCTAAGAGAACCTTGTTGTTTTAATTTTCAGCGCAGGCAGCTTTGCCGGAGGAGGTGGGTGCGAAGCGAAAGCGTCGCGAAGATGACGATTTCATGGTGGAGAAAGACGAAATTGCTTTCTGCTCCGACATTGCATATCAAACAAGATCCAGTAAGTTACTTTACTCATGTATTATAAACCATTGGTGAACGGCTATGAACAGCAATGCTTACCATTCTTGGTTGTTACTTTATGGATAAGGATTTGTGACTGCTTCATAAGAACTAACTTTCATTTTTGTCCACACAGTTCGTTTTTATATTAATGACGACGAAGAACACAAACCAGAGACTGCAGCACACCGGAAAGGACACGTCCAACGGAGTAAGAACAACACTCAGTGGCGTGGCTAGATGCTCCTTAATGGGAGGGTTTTGTGGCACTACATCCACTGCGACGTCAGGTACATCCAGACCATCTCTCACTGTGGAGACTTCAGCCATAGCTCTGCCACGGCCAACACCGTCACCACCGGCACCGTGCTGGTCATGGACACGGCCTGCCGCGAGGCCATCCGGGCCGGGGTCTACCACTGCTTCGGGACGACTCTGCAGGTCACCCCGAACCGGTCACCACGGTCGCGAGCTCCCGTACCTCAAACGGTGCCTGCTCCGGTGTCAGACCGCGGTGTCCTCTGCTCCGGGGTCACCGTAGAGTGACAGCTTACCATGTGGTAGATACGTGACATGGATGCCGCCTCCTTCGCTTTCTTTTTTTTAACTATTCGCTTCCCCTGATTGTGAGTATCTGTCGGTCACCCCTGCTCTCTTTCATTGTTGTTTTCGTTTGCTAATTCCTTTCTTCTCTCTCACAGCCCTGCGTCGAGATGTCCTTGGGCCGTTCGTCCGTGAGGCCGCCCACCCCCTCGCAGTCGGTGGGGGTGGTGATGGTGGGGACGCTGGAGGACCGCCTGGCGACGCACCTCATCCGGCTGGCCAACCACACCCTGCCGGACTGCGATTGGGGGTTGACTGTAATTTGGGTTTTTAGTCTTATTTTTGGTATTTTCTTTTGGGTAAATAAAAATGAATGAAATGCGCTATTGCTGGTTATTCCACGCTCACCACCTTTCGACTCAAACTTCATGGCTACGGCGAACGGCATATTATTGCCCCTCCACCACTCGCGCCGTGTTTTAACAAACAATTCTGAAGGCCGGCCGCCCAGGGAGCAGAGAATCAATGAGAAAAGCTGAAGAGGTGGCTACGGATCGAAACGAGACTGGAGCCGGCAGGCGCAGCGGTGACTCCGTTGAAAAGGATGCTTCTAAAACCTCGGAAAATAAGGAGGTGAGACACAGACACGTCGCTACGACAATGAAGATACTTCAGCCGCGCTGGAGCGCTTACAAGCATGGACTTAGAGACGTGTACTTGCCCAAGCACGAACCTAGTAGAAGAGTGTACTTGATTGAATTCACACATAGAAGTGCATGTTTTTCCCCGGGTTGCGCATGCACCTCGTAAGTGTGTACTCACTGAGTACACACTTTAAAGTACACACTTCTAGTCTAGGTGCGTGCTTCGGCAGGTGCAGGTGCTCGAAGTGCATGCTTGTAAGCACGCGACTCGAGGAGTGTACTGAGTACACACATAGATTTTGTGTGCTGGCGCCGGCCGTCGACCGGTCGTCCAGCACTCCCCGAGTCGCCCCGGGTGTCAGCGAAGAGGCGGCGTCTTGGGCCTTCATGACGGCTCACCGCGCGGCCTTGCGTACCGCCGAGCTAATCAGGACTGCCGGTGGGACGGACACAGGACTCGGCGACGTCCTGGCGTTCGGCCAGCACACCCTCGCCCGGCTGCTCCACTAGGCGTCAGCGGGGGCGCTGGCCGCCCACGAAGGAACACAAAGGACGCCGACTGAATCGGTCGAGTCCTTCCGTCCGGCGCAAAGCCCGCTACACTGCGAACTCTACAGTGCACTCAGGACAAGGGCTTGGCGTCTAAACCAGCCTTGATTCTTTGACTGTTTGTTGGTTGAGGCCAGCCGACCTGCCTGGTTCGTGGCCCTGAAGGCGCACGACCCGCCCATGCTGCGCTTCTACTTGCTCAGCCTCGGGCAAGCAGGTTGGACTAGCTTGGTGTAATGGCTGCCGAACCGGCGTGTGAAGCCTGTGTCAGCCAGTGTGCACGTTTTCCCAGGTAGCCTATGACGATTCTGCCTGATGAGCCCGTTCCGTATGAGAAGCACTCGCGTCAATCTTGTCAGAATGTCACAAACCTGTCTGAAAACCTGATCAGAATTCGCGCACCTCTGAAAGCTGAAAACATCTCCTGACAGTCTGTAGAACTCAAACCGTAAATACCAGAGTATACTCTTATAAGTTTTCGGAATTTTAGCTTTCAGAGGTGCGCGAATAATGATCAGGATTTCAGACATTTTTCTGACATTCTGACAAAATTTACACGAGTGAGGAGGTGAACGAGGTTGTGGCTATCAGTGTCCGGGCTAGAGCCGTCGTGATCTGTCGGTACGACAGCGGGAGAGCCACTTTCATGTGATTTCCAGAAAGTTTTTGAAAAAACGAGAAACCACTTTTGACGTGTGAAAGTGGGAAAGCCTGGGCCATGCGGAAAGGCGTGTAGAATCTTTCCAATGCTCCAAAGCCAGAGCGTGTTTCTGCACATTAAGAACTGCACCAAGATCGTTCTTTTTCATTCAAAGAAATAACGGCAGATTCGGAAACGACGAAGGAAATCGTTTGAAAGACACAAAGAAAGTGTACTCGTGAATACACGCTGAAGAGAGTGTACTCGTGAGTACACGCTAAAGAGAGAGTGTACTGAGTACACTGTTGAGTTTGCAGAGTGGTGGGTGAGCGAGTGTACCTCAAAATGAAACCGTGCCCAAGAGACAGCAGCACCCTGTGCCATAGGAATGTGCCGGAGTTGAACGGTCGGTCCCTCCGGGCTCGGGAACTACGACCAACACCACCCGAACGACTCCGCCAGGTGCCGAAATGACATCTCCTTGGTGACTTCAGGCGTTCACTGACGCAGTGAGTCAGCTGAGAGGGTCGGTAGCTGGCGTGAATGTTAGAGTGATCATGGGCGAAGAACCTGAGTACTGCCTGAGAAACCGACTTTCCAACAAATCATCAGTCTGCAACGAAACCTCAAGAACACCCAATGAACCGACCGAATCCTCACTGCTATTCCACGAATGTGACGTCATCTTCGTTAGAACGTGAATTTTGTCACGTTCGTTTCAATGCGATATTCGTCTGAATGTGACAACCGTTTAGTTAGGTTGTCACATTCATTTCAACGTGGACCGACATTAAAATGAATGTGAAATTATAATTAAACAAACGAGGCAAAATTCACACTCGAACGAACAAGACATCACATGCGTTGAATACACTGCAAATCCAAGTGTGAGACAGTCTCACGCTATTTAGTGTGAACCACTCTGTCTCCCGCTTACAAGCGTGAGCCACGTTTGTCCCGCGCTTGCAAGTGTGAGACACCGTTTGTCTCACACTTGCAAGTGTAGGTTCCGTTGAGACAAACCAACGTGAACCACAGGCAGCAAGTCTGGGAAAAACCGTGTCTAACAGTTGCAATGGTGAGACAAACGGTGTCTCAAACTTGCAAGCGTGGCTCACGCTTGTAAGCGTGAGACAGAGTGGTTTACTCTAAATAGTGAGAGACTGTCTCACATTTGGATTGGCAGTGTAAAGGTGCTTTCATACTCCAAAGCGCGCCACTCCACAAACTTAACGGTGCATTCAGAGCACTGTTGATGAGGATGAGCGACTCCCAATGACCCTCAAATTAACCGTGCGCAAGACAGTACGCGCTAAATTACTTTGTGCGCTTTGTTATTGATTTGTGCATAAGCCATGCACGAAACTGTGCATGCGTTTCAAACTGCACGAATTTTATGCGCAACGACACACATTTGCGTGCGCAGTTGCGTACAAATTAGTGCATTTTGAAACGCATGCACAGTTTCGTGCATAGCTCATGCACAGAAACCTACATGGTAATTTAGTGTGTACTAACTGCACGGTGTCGCTGATGACCCTAAACCCGGACAGGAGCGTGACATCACGTTGGAACGAACGTGACAAAATGCCACGCCCCTTTGCGCATTTGCGTCACGCTCGCTTAGATGGGAACCAGCCTTAAGTTGGCTTTCCACATTCAAACGGGCGTCACACGGTGGCGGTCGACCCTCACACCCGTCGTAAGTGGCGCCAGCGTCGTCTATTGGCTGTCAATCAAATCACCTCGGAAGATGTCGCCAGATTCTAGCGACATCTTCCGAGGTGATTTGATTGACAGTGACAGCCGATAGACGACGCTGGCGCCCCCCATGACGGGTGTGATGGTTGACCGGGCCAGACGAGCGCAACCGGAGCCACGAGAGGGAGGGGGGACGTCACCCAGCTGCACTGGTGGACGAGTGGCAACCCATGGTCGCCGGCGCCCTCCGACCAGCGCATGGGCAAGCCTGCCCGCACGCTCTGCAAACAAGTGTGTGCCAGGCACGCTCTTCCTGGTGCATGCCTGGCACACACTTCCTAGTGCATGCCTCAGGCACACACTTGCCGTCGCTTATGCGTGCATACGAGCAAGTGTGTGCCTGAGGCATGCACCAGGAGGTGTGTGCCTGGCACACACTTGAGTTTGCAGAGCCACAGCGAGCGGGTTGCACACCTTCAAACATCCACGGGGTTTCTGAAACACCTCGTACTGGTAGTCTGCTTTCTATGCCGTGAAGAAACCCCAACACACTGGAGTACTTTGTAGTTTCTTGTGCATAAGCTATGCACCAAACTGTGCATGCGTTTCAAATTGCGCGAATTTGTGCGCACGAAAATGAGCGATGTTACGCATGAAATTCGTGCATTTCGAAATGCATGCACAGTTTGGTGCATAGCGTATGCACAAGCAACTACAAGGCACTCCACTGCGCAGGACGCCGAATAAATTTGTCGAGCGTTTCCGCTGCCCGCACTCCTCGCTCTGTCCCTCTCGCATCCCTCTGGACTACTCGATGGGTGCGAGAGAGACAGAGCGAGGTGTGCGGGCAGCGGAGTCGCTTGACAGATGAAACTCAGCGGTGGACGACCAGTTGCGGCATGTGAGCCAGTTGCTTCAGCACATCCTGCAACAAGGACAAAAAAACTTATTACACAGAGAATTTTAGAAAGCAGTGGTCTATCATATAATAGCATTGTCTGCACACTTAAGTCTGAACGGATGGGGGTTTTGTACGTTCCGGATGGGTTTTGCTGCCCTTGCCTTGTAAGACAGTGCACTTACATGAGATTGTGGCCAAAGAACAGGACGGCGGCCTCGGTGCGGGCTTCCACGGCCACGTCGACGATGGCCAGATGGCGGAGGCCCCACAGCGGCCCAGAGGACAGCTGGAAGTGGCCAAAATTCTAGACGCGTTTTGAGCTCCAGAGTCGCGAAATTGGACTAGAACCGAGCGTGTGACCCCACTAATGGATTCCTCGTTCGGAAAGCAATCCATTGGTGGGGTCACGCGTTCGGTTCGAGTCCCATTTAGCGACTCTGGAGCTCAAAAAGCCTCTAGAGTTTGGGCCGCCTCCACCGGTCTTCTGGCCCACTGTGGACCGCCGCCCCGCGATTTTCGGTTCCTGGGCCTCGACGGTGCGT